GGGAACTAAGGGCACTCCAAAAAAGACTCGGTTCAATTCTGGTGCTGCGGGGAAACCTACAAGAGTAAGAATAAGGCGTGAAGCGAGCGATTAAAAGTGTGCCAGTTAAGTTTGATTAGAAGGCTGGGTTTACACATGTACACATTGGCGGTCTTCATTGACAGGGATATCGACAAAAACCAAATCTCAAGCAGTGGAGAGTGCAAAAGAAGAGGAGAGGCTGCTCAACGTGGACTTTGTGACGGCCAAGACTCAAGAGCTCCGTATCAGACAGCAGAGGTTGGAGGTATGTTGCAGCATATTCCTCTTTATAATTTGGGATTATTGCATAGATGCTGAGGTACTAAGTGGGATCATTTATAGGCCATTTTGTGATTTAAACAGCAAAACGCATTATCTACAGATGGAACCTACTTGACTCTTGACAAAATATGATTAACTTCTCCACATTTAGACTCAGAAAAAAATTTCTAATGTGTATACGTCAAGATAAGAAGCTGCTGCTCAGATTTAGAAAGAAGCTTCATTTAAAAAAAAAAAAACATATTATTTTTTCCTGTAAATGACCAAACAGTTTAATTTCTGTTTACCTAGTTGCAATGTCGTCTGCCTCTTGTTTAAAACAGAAACAGTGTTTAGTTTGTTAGTTTGTTGTTTGTCTTGTATTAGTCACTTTATTCTGCTCTGCTAATCCTGCAGGCTCAGCTTGTATCCAGGAACATGGACAAGTCTATCACCCACCAGGCCATTGTGCAGCTTTCTGAGGTATTTCAGCATTTTCACCACATTCATTGCCATGGGGATAGAAGCTTTACTTTGTCTGCATTCAGGGTTTGAAACATGTCATCTTATTTTTCTCCCTGCAGGAACTCAGGGCACTGCAAAACGAAATAATCCTCCTGAAAAAGAAGCTGGAGTCGTACATGGACCTGAGTCCGGTACGTTTGTTTTCTAGTTTTTCAGACTTCATTACTTTTCCAACAAAAGGGGTGATCACGTTTCCTGTTTTGTCCTTTGAAAAGAAAAAATCATTCAATCTAATTTATTTAAGGATTAAGTTTGTGAATTTAATCTTGAAATGTGTGTTGTTGTTTTTTTATTCTAAACCTTCAGAGCCCATCTCTTGCACAAGTGAAGATGGAAGAAGCAAAAAGAGAACTAGTGAGTCTTTAAATATTTGGTTTTATAACATACAAGATGCCATTTTTTGCTCGTTTGTCATTTTAATTACTTTTTCTTTCGTTCATTTTTCAGGTTGCACTCGATTCCAAACTGGAGACAATGAAGGCTATAAAATGAAGTTGGATGTTGCGCAGTCCTTTCTTTAAAAATAAAGTTTTTGCAGTCATATTTTTTCTTCTTCTTTTCTACCTTTACCTGCCTTCATCATTAATGTTAAATGAAAAGTGGTTTGAGGTATTTTGGGTCACCTGAAAGGATACTTCTTGCTTCTTTCCTCCTTAGCTTTGGAACCTTATTTAAATATAGGTTAAATATTTCAGAGATTTTGGACACTCCTAAAAAGCTCACAGAGTATCCCTATTAGTTCATACACCTTGAACATTTTATATTGTACAACCTGCATAACTAACTTATTTTGTTTTGTATGTTTACCAACAAAAACATTGTTTGCATGCTTGTCAGTGTCTAGAAATGGGTAAAATTTTCTGATATGATTTTTAGCTTTTTTATTTTATGATAAAATAATATACTGCTAATGTGTACCTGAATGTTTAGTCTCTCTCCACGCCTTCCTGTTTGTTTCAAACATCTGCAACACTAATGCAATGTTTGGCTTTTCCTCTCTGATCGCAGCAATCTAATTAAGGGGTTGGTCTTAAGAGTTGTAAAAAATAGTTCTCACAGATTATATCCAAACAACTTTCAATCTGTGTGGACAACCTCATCAAATGCAAGTTCTTTGTTTTGTTTTTGTAAATGTATTTTTGTCCAGCTGCTTATCATTTCTCAGCCCTTCTGGATCCAAATAAGTTTTCCTCTTCCATACTTCTTGGATTTTCTTCTCAAAACCTCAGTATTTTTTACACCCATTTGCTTTAATGTAATTTCTTCAATGTCTGGCCAACAAGTCTAAAGGTAAAGGAAACCTTTAGAGATTCACAATAAAATGGTACTGGCTTTGGAGGTATAATGTCACATGGAATTAACGGTGGAGCACTTTGTGCCTGAAGCAAAAGCAGACATTAGAATCAGTCTGTTCTGTCTGCATGTAAAATATCCCCTCAGCGTTTCTCTGCCCTGTCGGTTTCTGTCCTCTGGAGTGGAGCAGAGCCTGGACACCTCAACGGTTTCTGTCAGCTTGACTGGTGTAGGACCTGATCTGCAGTCTGACATGGAGACTGAGCCGTTACCATGGAGTGGGCCACAGATGCTTACTAGAGCAGTTTTCCCACTGGGGCCCCCCAGCTTGGATGAAAAGAACCATTTGGTTAGAATACCAACAGTTTTAAAAAAAAGAAACAATCTGGCAATTTATTCAAAAAGGTTACATTTGTTTTACTCCTGGGTGACTCTGTTTACCTATATTTTCCAAGTAATGTGAACGCTTAAATGTGTAAGCATAACTTATTTTTATGAGTATTGCTTAATTGACATAACTCATAAATTGTAGTAGTCATAATTGACATTTTATAGTCAACTTTACTAATGATTTTGAGTTAATCAAAATCAGGTTTACTGCCATTATCTGAGTGGTGTAAACATTTATAGCTATAACACCTTATAATGAATTAGCTACTTTACTTGGAGATTTTGAGGCAATCGGTTTCCTAACTTTTTTTAAGTAAAGTGAACTTATTACATTTTACAGTGTGGACAAAGAAAATGTTTGAAACAAATAATATGGCCTTTAGAGACAGAACACAAATCATATAAATTGTCTTAAATTCCAGTTGAATTAGTTAAAATGTTTTAAAGTGTGGGCCGGTCATCAGTGGACAGTAAAGAATCCAGTTGTAATGAAATGTTTTCTCCTTTTCAAACCTCATTAGAAGAACAAATTTGTCTCTAATGCTAAACTTGACTGGTCTGGTTTTTAGACTTAAATGGCAGCTATTTATTTATTTATTAAGTTTTACAGAAAAAGAAAACCATATCTACTCAACTTTCATTTATCAATTATTTTTCCATTTGCAACAACAGCATAAAAAGAGTATTTAGGTTGTTGGTTCTGTTCTGAAAATGGAGGTTTAATCATGACGTAAATACAAATTGTTGCGAAAACAATAACTGATTACTACAGCTGCACTTTATATATTGAAATAAACATTTAATTTGAACCGTTAAATCGTTTTAAGTGAATTGGGATAACTACAATTTTTTAATCTGCTGTATTTCTTTAAATTCACATTCATTTTCTTCCTGGAAGGTTGGCAGGTTGGCTCTGTTCATCAAACACTTTTTGCAGTTCTATCTTCTATTGCTGGAGTTAACTTAAAGTTAAACAGAACCCTAGATGTAATTTGTGTGAATGAAAAAGAACACATATTACATTTGTTTACATCTGTTTTTCTAAGCAACCAGAATGTCTTCTTTCATTTAAGTAAATTGCCATAAGCTATGCTTCTTTCTGAATTTTTGATTTGATGTAGGCTCTTGTTTTGTACTTATTTTCACAAGATTGAGACAGTTATATCAAAAATATGGGGGAAAAAAAAAAGACAAATTAGAAGGATGAATTGTTGGATGTTGAATTTGATATTTATGCATTTGTGGTTAAAAACTGGGACAAATAGGGGATGAGTTGCACAATTTGGAAATTAGTTTTCTCAGTGTGGGTTATTTGCTCATCTTTTGATCAGCCCACTTAGTAAAACATAAAATCCAGGGTTTTTTTTCTTTCAATCCAATGAAATAATTTGTTTTGTCACAGTACAATCACACGTGCATGATACAAATGAGATTGTATGTAACAAACACAAGGTGGTGAATGGTTGGGAAAAGGAATAAAAATGTTTTTCTAAATATTTTACAAATGCATTCCATACAATAGTCAGTTGCAGACCAGACTACTGGGTTAACTTTAACCCCATACTATACAGTGCTGTGGTCATATAGATGCACAGATAATGATCGTAAAAGTCCAAAGAACAACTAAGAGATCCAGTAAATCGTTGAAAACCATTTTAAAGTATTGCAAGAGGCAAAGCATAAAGGAATTGGAAGTTGTTGAAACTTTTGTACAGTACAATTTAGAAGCAAACATAAATATCAAACTGTGACTGTGTGTTTTTGTAAAATTGTGCCTGAAATGTGAAGGAAGACGTAAAATAAGAAAGTCAAAGAGAGGGAAGCCTAGGAAGTATGTATGCGCCTTCTGGAGGGATAAAGAGGGGGGGGAAATCATGCGTCACTCTAGCGCGAGCTGCCCGTGTTCCCTTTAAAATAGTTTTATGTGCCACTCCCACTCCATGATTCCCACTCAGCTGTTACTGTAAATCGCTCCCAGTTCCCACATGGTGCTATCCATTCACAAATCCGCGCAGGAAGACTCGATTGTTGCCATGAATCGGATTGATCACCTCGTCCGTCACCTGTGAGCAACTTGTTGCGCAGCTGCTATTTCCTCTGTGGTCCATCGCCGCAGCCAGACAGCCGCTGCTTCTCTACGACAGAAACACTGGAGCTGATCTGCGTCTCAGCGTCCGGGGGTATTTTCTGGCTCTCAGGGAGGACAGCTGGATGACTTTGTGTGAGCGACCGACTTTCTTTATTGGAGTTAGAGAGATGCAGCCGAACGCCGCGGCCTTGCGGGATCTCCCTCACCTTCCTGTTTGGGTTTTTCATTAAGTAGGCCTACAACAAGTCTGAATTCAACGAGCCTCATTAATATGAGAAGAGGGGCAGGGGATGCGAGTCATGAGCTGGACGCGTCCTTTCCACGGACTGGACTGGAGCCACAGCCTCTTCTATCTGACTTTACTACTGTGGACCAGGCGCATGAACGGACTGGCTGATTTTTCAAGTAAGATGATGATGATGATGATGACGATGATGACGGAGATGCAATAAAAGGAGGGGAAAGCTTACAACAGAAACTATTTTCTCACAAAAAATGTCACCAGGTCGCTCTGAAGTTTTCCATTTAACTTGCATAAAATGATGTAAAAATGAAATCTTCTTTTGGTGTTTTTTGAATAATGGTGAAAAGACAAGAATTGATATTAATTCAGGTAAGGAATCTGTAGTGGATTTAACATTTGTTTCCAGTTGTTTAGCTCCATTATGTGATTGGCAAGTTGAAAATAAATCCTTTGGTAGTGATCATTACATTATAGTCAGTAAAATAAGGATGGGTCAGGTGCAGAATCTTGAAATGTTAGGAGGGAAGTGGATATTTAGGAAAGCAAATTGGGAAAAATTTAATAACTTATGTAGAGTAAGATATCAAATATAAAAAAATGATTTGAGTGTAGAAAATATGAGTCGTGAGATTAGTCAGGGTATATTAGAAGCTGCTGAAAGGTCTATTCCAAAAACATCAGGGAAGAATAGGAGGAAATTAGTTCCATGGTGGAATGAAGAGTGTAGAACAGTGGTCAAAGAAAGAAATAAAGCATTTAAACTGGTTAAAAAGTCTCATAATTTTCAACATTTGATCGAATATAAAAATCACAGGCTAAATTAAGGAAAACAATAAGAACAGCAAAAAGGATATATTGGAGAAATTTTTGTGACAAAATTGGTAATAGTACAAAGATTGGGGAAGTTTGGGGAATGATCAAAAAAATGGGGGAGATAGAAGAGAATGGAGTTATCCAATATTAAATAGAAACAGTATAATAGCAATAAATGACAGGGAAAAAGCTGATATTTTAGTAAGCACATTTATGGAGATTCATAGTGGGAAAAAATGATCAGATAAAGAAATAAAGGGGAGAGAGAAAACTAAAAGAGAAAATGGTGGAATTTTAAGAAGAAAGGAAATTATTAAGGATGAATTGATGAACGAACATTTCTCTATTGGAGAATTGAAAAGAGCTTTGGGTAGAACAAGAAATAGTGCTCCAGGTAAAGATGAAGTATGCTATATTATGCTAAGACATGTGAGTGATGATGTTTTGAAGAAGATATTAAATTTGTATAATAAGATTTGGAAAGAGGGAAGAATACCTAGTGAATGGAAAGAAGCGGTTGTTATTCCGATAAAGAAACCTGGGAAAGATCATAGTAATCCTGAAAACTATAGGCCGATTGCTTTAACATCTAATATATGTAAGCTGATGGAAAGGATGGTGAATGAGAGGTTAGTACAGTATTTGGAATCAAGGAATATAATTGCTCCGTATCAGAGTGGCTTTCGTAGAGGGAGAGGAACAATGGATCCAGTATTGTGTTTAGAAGATGATATTAGAAAAGCTCAAATTAATAAGGAAACTGCTGTGGCTGTATTTTTTGATGTGGAAAAAGCATATGACATGTTATGGAGAGAAGGATTAATGATTAAACTACACCAGATAGGAATAGGAGGGAGTATGTTTAACTGGATATGGGATTTTTTATGTGATAGAAATATCCAAGTTAAAATAGGTTCTCATGTTTCAAAATCGTGTCAAATAGAAAATGGAACTCCTCAAGGAAGTGTGATAAGTCCAACATTATTCTCGGTGATGATAAATGATATTTTTAATGAAATACCAGTTAGTTTTGGGAAATCACTATTTGCTGATGATGGAGCATTATGGAAAAGGGGAAGAAATATAGAACATCTTATTTTAAAACTTCAGGAAGGTATAGATATAGTAGGTAAGTGGGGAATTGAGTGGGGTTTTAAATTTTCAATTGAGAAGACAAAAGTAATGTTCTTTACAAATAAGAAAGTTAGAATTGATAAAAAATTATATTTATATGGAAAAGAATTAGAAACGGTTGATAGTTTTCGTTTTTTGGGAGTAGTCTTTGATAAGAAACTAACTTGGGAAAATCATATAGATCACATTATGGAAAAAAGTAAAAAGGTTCTTAACATTATGAGGTGCTTGACAGGATTGACACTATGAATCACTTAAAAATATTTATGTGTCATTAATTCGATCTAGAATAGATTATGGGAGTGTGGTATGGATCAGCAAGCAAAACTAGGTTAAACAAATTGGATATTATTCAAGCAAGAGCTTTGAGAATTTGCTTAGGGGCAGTTAAATCTACTCCAGTATGTGCATTACAAGTAGAGTCAGGAGAGATGCCATTATGTATTAGAAGACAGCAGATCATGGTAAATTATTGGATAAGTTTAAAAGGACAAAATGAAGATCACCCAGTTAAGAAAGTGTTGCAACATTGTTGGGAGAGAGGAAAAGGGAAAAGTAATAGTTTTTGGGTGGGTGGGAGATGATAGAGCAAAAACATTTAATGTATTTGACAAAGAATTCAGTCAAACAGTAGTATGGCCTGTGAGACCAGCATGGTCATGGAAATATATTAATGTAGACAAGACACTATTAGATATTCAGGGGAAAAAGATGATAGATATGTGCCAAGAGTTTTATCATCAAATACAAAATAAATATAATGATTATGTACAGATTTATACTGATGTTTCAAAGATCCTAAAAACAAAGTAACAAGTGCAGCAGTAGTGATTCTAGATTTATATACAAAGATTTCAAAAAGAACATCTGATTACTTGAGTATCTATGCAGTAGAAATGTGTGCTATATTATTAGCTTTAGAATGGGTGGAGGATAGTAAAGAAAATACATTTATAATTTGTAGTGATTCACTATCTGCTTTGATGAGTATTGAAAAGGGATGTTCAAGTAATCATCAAAATATATTATATGAAGTTATGGCTGTTCATCATAGAATATGTGATCAAAATAAAAGGTAATATTATTTTGGACTCCTGCTCATGTAGGTATTTTAGGTAATGAAAGAGCAGATAGGTTGGCTAAGGAGGCTAGTAAAAAGAAAAAATTGATATGTTAGTAAAGCTATCGAAATCAGAGGGGAAAAGTATAGCTTGGAGAGAAAGTAAAAAGATATGGAAAATTAGGTGGGATAATGAAATAAATGGAAGGCATTTACACAGATTTCAAAATACAGTTGATGTAGAAAGGGTTAGAGGGTTAAATAGAAAGGTAGAGGTAATTATAACTCGAATAAGAACCGGGCATAGTTTATTAAATGGAACTCTTTATAAGATGGGGAAACATCCTACTGGTTTATGTATTTGGTGTGATTCTGTAGAAACAATGGAACATGTTTTTATTTGTTGTAGAAAATATGAAAATGAAAGAAAATTATTAATATTGGAATTAGGCTGTACCAGGGAATTGAAGTTTGAAAAAGTGGTTGATCAGTTAAATAGTAATGAGGGGAGGAAGAAATTTTGTGGTTTTTTAAAAAACAGTGGGATTATTTCGAGAATTTGTTAGATAATTAGGATCCAATAGATGGCAGTAGTGCAAAAAAATGGATGCAAGCTGCCGTTAAATCCTAAAGAAGAAGATGAAGTTAATTGGAGGGGCTATAAAACACACGGCGTTTTACGTTTCTGTAGTGACTGTCTATGTTTTTCATGCCTTCTCTGTGATCATGTGTGAAAAGCTGAGGAAGGTAACTCTTTGACTCCAGTAAACACACATTAATGCGCCAGCCGCATTGCTGATATTGTCTTATTTGTCTGTCTCTTCTACAGGTGAACAGCTGGTTGGAGGGAGTGTTTGGGGATCAGCCAGTGCCATCATTTGAGGTGAACACCAGGACTGTGGACATACTGTATCAGCTGGCTCAGTCCAGTGAAGCCCGCTGCAGTGATACTGCTCTCCTCATTGAAGACTACAAGCAGAAAACATCAGAGTATCAGGCTGACGGTGAGGCACATACAGCAGGCAGAACAGATGATGCATTAAAACACTTGGATCGGAAGGCTGAATTGATCTAAAGTGTTTAGATTTGCCGAATGGCATGTTTTGCACATGTCGAAACTAATAGAAACTGAAGTAAATATTTTTATGGCTTAAGATATAGGTGTGGTTTTATATTTTGTTGTAGTATAGAGACAATCTCCAAATAGTCTCTATATCACTCCACTAAACGACATTAACGACTACTATTGAAGTATTTAAGGTGAATATTTTGTGCTCAGATGTCGAAATTGTTATTAAATTGGAGGGAAAATAGAAATCTGAGTTTAGAAATTGTATGGAGTTTCAAAATAATAAACACATAAGAACTCTTTTGTCTGGTTTTCAATGTTTTTCAAAAAACTGTATTTCACTAATCCCATCCCCCCTAGCTGCTCACCTTGAGGATGTTCTTCTGCATGGTGTCGGCTTGTCTGGGGCAAGCTTGTCAGAGCCGACTGCAAACTACGTGTCTGCTTTAGTGGACAATGCTATGGTGCTGCGAGTGAAAGACACATCACTGACCAGGTAATTTTCTGTGGCTTTGTATTTCATTGATCAGAATATATGGTTGTTTTACTTTTGTTCGTTTGTAGCTTCATGCCAGCAATCAACAATCTCACCGATGATCTTCTGGAAGTCGAGAAGTCAAACAGAAAACTCGAAAGGGAACTAAGGGCACTCCAAAAAAGACTCGGTTCAATTCTGGTGCTGCGGGGAAACCTACAAGAGTAAGAATAAGGCGTGAAGCGAGCGATTAAAAGTGTGCCAGTTAAGTTTGATTAGAAGGCTGGGTTTACACATGTACACATTGGCGGTCTTCATTGACAGGGATATCGACAAAACTACCAAATCTCAAGCAGTGGAGAGTGCAAAAGAAGAGGAGAGGCTGCTCAACGTGGACTTTGTGACGGCCAAGACTCAAGAGCTCCGTATCAGACAGCAGAGGTTGGAGGTATGTTGCAGCATATTCCTCTTTATAATTTGGGATTATTGCATAGATGCTGAGGTACTAAGTGGGATCATTTATAGGCCATTTTGTGATTTAAACAGCAAAACGCATTATCCACAGATGGGAACCTACTTGACTCTTGACAAAATATGATTAACTTCTCCACATTTAGACTCAGAAAAAAATTTCTAATGTGTATACGTCAAGATAAGAAGCTGCTGCTCAGATTTAGAAAGAAGCTTCATTAAAAAAAAAACATATTATTTTTTCCTGTAAATGACCAAACAGTTTAATTTCTGTTTACCTAGTTGCAATGTCGTCTGCCTCTTGTTTAAAACAGAAACAGTGTTTAGTTTGTTAGTTTGTTGTTTGTCTTGTATTAGTCACTTTATTCTGCTCTGCTAATCCTGCAGGCTCAGCTTGTATCCAGGAACATGGACAAGTCTATCACCCACCAGGCCATTGTGCAGCTTTCTGAGGTATTTCAGCATTTTCACCACATTCATTGCCATGGGGATAGAAGCTTTACTTTGTCTGCATTCAGGGTTTGAAACATGTCATCTTATTTTTCTCCCTGCAGGAACTCAGGGCACTGCAAAACGAAATAATCCTCCTGAAAAAGAAGCTGGAGTCGTACATGGACCTGAGTCCGGTACGTTTGTTTTCTAGTTTTTCAGACTTCATTACTTTTCCAACAAAAGGGGTGATCACGTTCCTGTTGTCCTTTGAAAAGAAAAAATCATTCAATCTAATTTATTTAAGGATTAAGTTTGTGAATTTAATCTTGAAATGTGTGTTGTTGTTTTATTCTAAACCTTCAGAGCCCATCTCTTGCACAAGTGAAGATGGAAGAAGCAAAAAGAGAACTAGTGAGTCTTTAAATATTTGGTTTTATAACATACAAGATGCCATTTTTTGCTCGTTTGTCATTTTAATTACTTTTTCTTTCGTTCATTTTTCAGGTTGCACTCGATTCCAAACTGGAGACAATGAAGGCTATAAAATGAAGTTGGATGTTGCGCAGTCCTTTCTTTAAAAATAAAGTTTTTGCAGTCATATTTTTTCTTCTTCTTTTCTACCTTTACCTGCCTTCATCATTAATGTTAAATGAAAAGTGGTTTGAGGTATTTTGGGTCACCTGAAAGGATACTTCTTGCTTCTTTCCTCCTTAGCTTTGGAACCTTATTTAAATATAGGTTAAATATTTCAGAGATTTTGGACACTCCTAAAAAGCTCACAGAGTATCCCTATTAGTTCATACACCTTGAAATTTTTATATTGTACAACCTGCATAACTAACTTATTTTGTTTTGTATGTTTACCAACAAAAACATTGTTTGCATGCTTGTCAGTGTCTAGAAATGGGTAAAATTTTCTGATATGATTTTTAGCTTTTTTATTTTATGATAAAATAATATACTGCTAATGTGTACCTGAATGTTTAGTCCTCTCTCCACGCCTTCCTGTTTGTTTCAAACATCTGCAACACTAATGCAATGTTTGGCTTTCCTCTCTGATCGCAGCAATCTAATTAAGGGGTTGGTCTTAAGAGTTGTAAAAAATAGTTCTCACAGATTATATCCAAACAACTTTCAATCTGTGTGGACAACCTCATCAAATGCAAGTTCTTTGTTTTGTTTTTGTAAATGTATTTTTGTCCAGCTGCTTATCATTTCTCAGCCCTTCTGGGATCCAAATAAGTTTCCTCTTCCATACTTCTTGGATTTTCTTCTCAAAACCTCAGTATTTTTACACCCATTTGCTTTAATGTAATTTCTTCAATGTCTGGCCAACAAGTCTAAAGGTAAAGGAAACCTTTAGAGATTCACAATAAAATGGTACTGGCTTTGGAGGTATAATGTCACATGGAATTAACGGTGGAGCACTTTGTGCCTGAAGCAAAAGCAGACAGTAGAATCAGTCTGTTCTGTCTGCATGTAAAAATCCCCTCAGCGTTTCTCTGCCCTGTCGGTTTCTGTCCTCTGGAGTGGAGCAGAGCCTGGACACCTCAACGGTTTCTGTCAGCTTGACTGGTGTAGGACCTGATCTGCAGTCTGACATGGAGACTGAGCCGTTACCATGGAGTGGGCCACAGATGCTTACTAGAGAGCAGTTTTCCCACTGGGGCCCCCCAGCTTGGATGAAAAGAACCATTTGGTTAGAATACCAACAGTTTTAAAAAAAAGAAACAATCTGGCAATTTATTCAAAAAGGTTACATTTGTTTACTCCTGGGTGACTCTGTTTACCTATATTTTCCAAGTAATGTGAACGCTTAAATGTGTAAGCATAACTTATTTTTATGAGTATTGCTTAATTGACATAACTCATAAATTGTAGTAGTCATAATTGACATTTTATAGTCAACTTTACTAATGATTTTGAGTTAATCAAAATCAGGTTTACTGCCATTATCTGAGTGGTGTAAACATTTATAGCTATAACACCTTATAATGAATTAGCTACTTACTTGGAGATTTTGAGGCAATCGGTTTCCTAATTTTTTAAGTAAAGTGAACTTATTACATTTTACAGTGTGGACAAAGAAAAATGTTTGAAACAAATAATATGGCCTTTAGAGACAGAACACAAATCATATAAATTGTCTTAAATTCCAGTTGAATTAGTTAAAATGTTTTAAAGTGTGGGCCGGTCATCAGTGGACAGTAAAGAATCCAGTTGTAATGAAATGTTTTCTCCTTTTCAAACCTCATTAGAAGAACAAATTTGTCTCTAATGCTAAACTTGACTGGTCTGGTTTTTAGACTTAAATGGCAGCTATTTATTTATTTATTAAGTTTTACAGAAAAAGAAAACCATATCTACTCAACTTTCATTTATCAATTATTTTCCATTTGCAACAACAGCATAAAAAGAGTATTTAGGTTGTTGGTTCTGTTCTGAAAATGGAGGTTTAATCATGACGTAAATACAAATTGTTGCGAAAACAATAACTGATTACTACAGCTGCACTTTATATATTGAAATAAACATTTAATTTGAACCGTTAAATCGTTTTAAGTGAATTGGGATAACTACAATTTTTTAATCTGCTGTATTTCTTTAAATTCACATTCATTTTCTTCCTGGAAGGTTGGCAGGTTGGCTCTGTTCATCAAACACTTTTTGCAGTTCTATCTTCTATTGCTGGAGTTAACTTAAAGTTAAACAGAACCCTAGATGTAATTTGTGTGAATGAAAAAGAACACATATTACATTTGTTTACATCTGTTTTTCTAAGCAACCAGAATGTTCTTTCATTTAAGTAAATTGCCATAAGCTATGCTTCTTTCTGAATTTTTGATTTGATGTAGGCTCTTGTTTTGTACTTATTTTCACAAGATTGAGACAGTTATATCAAAAATATGGGGGAAAAAAAAGACAAATTAGAAGGATGAATTGTTGGATGTTGAATTTGATATTTATGCATTTGTGGTTAAAAACTGGGACAAATAGGGGATGAGTTGCACAATTTGGAAATTAGTTTTCTCAGTGTGGGTTATTTGCTCATCTTTGATCAGCCCACTTAGTAAAACATAAAATCCAGGGTTTTTTTTCTTTCAATCCAATGAAATAATTTGTTTTGTCACAGTACAATCACACGTGCATGATACAAATGAGATTGTATGTAACAAACACAAGGTGGTGAATGGTTGGGAAAAGGAATAAAAATGTTTTTCTAAATATTTTACAAATGCATTCCATACAATAGTCAGTTGCAGACCAGACTACTGGGTTAACTTTAACCCCATACTATACAGTGCTGTGGTCATATAGATGCACAGATAATGATCGTAAAAGTCCAAAGAACAACTAAGAGATCCAGTAAATCGTTGAAAACCATTTTAAAGTATTGCAAGAGGCAAAGCATAAAGGAATTGGAAGTTGTTGAAACTTTTGTACAGTACAATTTAGAAGCAAACATAAATATCAAACTGTGACTGTGTGTTTTTGTAAAAATTGTGCCTGAAATGTGAAGGAAGACGTAAAATAAGAAAGTCAAAGAGAGGGAAGCCTAGGAAGTATGTATGCGCCTTCTGGAGGGATAAAGAGGGGGGGGAAATCATGCGTCACTCTAGCGCGAGCTGCCCGTGTTCCCTTTAAAATAGTTTTATGTGCCACTCCCACTCCATGATTCCCACTCAGCTGTTACTGTAAATCGCTCCCAGTTCCCACATGGTGCTATCCATTCACAAATCCGCGCAGGAAGACTCGATTGTTGCCATGAATCGGATTGATCACCTCGTCCGTCACCTGTGAGCAACTTGTTGCGCAGCTGCTATTTCCTCTGTGGTCCATCGCCGCAGCCAGACAGCCGCTGCTTCTCTACGACAGAAACACTGGAGCTGCTGATCTGCGTCTCAGCGTCCGGGGGTATTTTCTGGCTCTCAGGGAGGACAGCTGGATGACTTTGTGTGAGCGACCGACTTTCTTTATTGGAGTTAGAGAGATGCAGCCGAACGCCGCGGCCTTGCGGGATCTCCCTCACCTTCCTGTTTGGGTTTTTCATTAAGTAGGCCTACAACAAGTCTGAATTCAACGAGCCTCATTAATATGAGAAGAGGGGCAGGGGATGCGAGTCATGAGCTGGACGCGTCCTTTCCACGGACTGGACTGGAGCCACAGCCTCTTCTATCTGACTTTACTACTGTGGACCAGGCGCATGAACGGACTGGCTGATTTTTCAAGTAAGATGATGATGATGATGATGACGATGATGACGGAGATGCAATAAAAGGAGGGGAAAGCTTACAACAGAAACTATTTTCTCACAAAAAATGTCACCAGGTCGCTCTGAAGTTTTCCATTTAACTTGCATAAAATGATGTAAAAATGAAATCTTCTTTTGGTGTTTTTTGAATAATGGTGAAAAGACAAGAATTGATATTAATTCAGGTAAGGAATCTGTAGTGGATTTAACATTTGTTTCCAGTTGTTTAGCTCCATTATGTGATTGGCAAGTTGAAAATAAATCCTTTGGTAGTGATCATTACATTATAGTCAGTAAAATAAGGATGGGTCAGGTGCAGAATCTTGAAATGTTAGGAGGGAAGTGGATATTTAGGAAAGCAAATTGGGAAAAATTTAATAACTTATGTGAGAGTAAGATATCAAATATAAAAAATGATTTGAGTGTAGAAAATATGAGTCGTGAGATTAGTCAGGGTATATTAGAAGCTGCTGAAAGGTCTATTCCAAAAACATCAGGGAAGAATAGGAGGAAATTAGTTCCATGGTGGAATGAAGAGTGTAGAACAGTGGTCAAAGAAAGAAATAAAGCATTTAAACTGGTTAAAAAGTCTCATAATTTTCAACATTTGATCGAATATAAAAATCACAGGCTAAATTAAGGAAAACAATAAGAACAGCAAAAAGGATATATTGGAGAAATTTTTGTGACAAAATTGGTAATAGTACAAAGATTGGGGAAGTTTGGGGAATGATCAAAAAAATGGGGGGAGATAGAAGAGAATGGAGTTATCCAATATTAAATAGAAACAGTATAATAGCAATAAATGACAGGGAAAAAGCTGATATTTTAGTAAGCACATTTATGGAGATTCATAGTGGGAAAAAATGATCAGATAAAGAAATAAAGGGGAGAGAGAAAACTAAAAGAGAAAATGGTGGAATTTTAAGAAGAAAGGAAATTATTAAGGATGAATTGATGAACGAACATTTCTCTATTGGAGAATTGAAAAGAGCTTTGGGTAGAACAAGAAATAGTGCTCCAGGTAAAGATGAAGTATGCTATATTATGCTAAGACATGTGAGTGATGATGTTTTGAAGAAGATATTAAATTTGTATAATAAGATTTGGAAAGAGGGAAGAATACCTAGTGAATGGAAAGAAGCGGTTGTTATTCCGATAAAGAAACCTGGGAAAGATCATAGTAATCCTGAAAACTATAGGCCGATTGCTTTAACATCTAATATATGTAAGCTGATGGAAAGGATGGTGAATGAGAGGTTAGTACAGTATTTGGAATCAAGGAATATAATTGCTCCGTATCAGAGTGGCTTTTTAGAGGGAGAGGAACAATGGATCCAGTATTGTG